AACAACAAATTAAAGAACAAATAAACGTAAATACATGAAATATTTTATTGTTAGTTTTGCTGCCGCCTAGTCGTCAATTAGAATTACGCAATCGCGGACATGAGTATGAACTACCGAGAGTTCGAACAGAAAGGTTTAAAAGAGTGTTCGTTAATAGATGTCTTTTTAACTTCATATGATATTTTTTAAATTAGAAATTAACTTCTTAGGAACTACATTAAACATTATAATAATGGTATTTTAGCTCTATTAATGAATAATATCAATACTAATTCAGAAATGAGTATAATAATTATTGATAAGTAAGTGCAAATTGTAAGCCCGCACGTTTGTTGTGAGGTGTTGCTTTTAATATTTTAATAAAGATTTATAAATAAATAAAAAATTGTTAAAACGTTATATTAAACACTGGTTACACTGCAGTTACTTAAGGTGGCTCGATATAGTTATCACAAAAACCCTGCTCAAGAGTCGCGAACTCAAAACCGGGTGACCATTTTTACGCGCAGGTCGTGGAAATTGATTAAAGGTACGTTTATACGCTGCGATTTGTCGGGCCGATTTTGCTCGCTGTATGTAAACAACCTGTCGTGAGTACTCGAGTCAGCACATTGCGATTCACAAAATCGGGAGAAAAATCTGTAACAAAACCACAGATTTTCTCACGATTCAACGATTTTTCTTCCGTTGTAAAGTTGTTGAAAACTTTTCGCACGCAGAAAACTATAATATGAACAGACGAGAGAGCGGACAGCTTCAATTGAACGTTTAAATCGCTAAATGTCGAAGAAGGGACATCGATTTTTTTTCAAAATCGGCCCGACAAATCGCAGCGTGTAAACGTAACTTCTAAAATGACCTGACGTGAGCGGTTGCTCGCGCCATATCACGCCATTGCGCGTGTTCTATAGCGTTTTATACCAATTGCTGACGTCATTAGAATTTTCCATTTTAGAAAAACAATGCGCTATATTTCTTTATTTTGTCTGGTGACCTATGTTCAAATTTTGCATGCTGTATTGTACCGCTAAAAACTTTCATTATACAAAGACCTACAAAAAATAAAAAAATTCTGTAATACCAAAAAAATTTTACCGAAGAATATGACATTTTCGCATTTTTCAAAAAAATGGCATTACAGAAATTTTTTATATTTTGCTAATTGTTAGCTTTTCGTCCAAGTAAAATAATGCACGAAAAATAATTGGGGGTCACCATGCTTCTTTTCTAACTATACGTGACGATAGGCCATTTTGGAGTGAATTTCGTACACGTATGTCGTCATAGCAACGAACTATCTGTTACTAAAACTTGTATAATTTGAATGTTGAGATATCAAAATATATAAAAAAAAAACCAATATCTGCTGAATAAATCCTAAAAATGCGTAGTTTGAACATGTCAAAGTGTAGAACATTTGAATTTTTGAAAACTGTATCGAGCCACCTTAATTACGTACTATGCATGTCCAAAGGTCGCATCTTCACGTGATGGCGCACGTGATTTTTTTGTTATTCGCCGGTCGATAACGTATTATCTCCCTCTCGCGCTGTTGCGAGGGAGACACTCTAATTTCGTCACTCTCACGTGATATGCTCTCAACCAATAAAACACTAGAAAAATGCGACTTTGACTATTGATATATAATCCAGATGATCTTGATACGCGGAAAAGTACTGGCACTAGTTGTCACATAGAAATCAATTTTATGATTAAAACAACTTAATATCTCCTGTAATATACTTTATTTCGATTCCATATTTTTGTCAGAGCTTGAGTTCTCATAAGCAAACATAATTACAAAATTTCAACTAGTTTCATAAAGAATAACGAAAGATATAATTGACTGAATACATCAAAATGGATTTCTATTCGGACAACCCTTTCTGAGCGCTGATTGGCTAAAATACCAACACGAGATCACCTGGATAATAGCGCATGTTATTTCGACGCGTAGAGGATTTAAGGCCAGTTGCACGACGGACGGATAGCCGCAATTATTCTGCGTAGCTGGGGGCGGGGGGTGTTAAGGGTTGGGGTTGAGGCGCAGGCAGCGAAAATAAGGGAGACGAGGCGCGGGATTCTCGCTGCTCGCGCCTCAACCCCAACCTCTTAAAACGCCAGCTACGCAGGCTAAACTGGAGAGTTTTCTTTATTATTTCAACCTTTGTAAAATTGATAAAATATAATATGCAAAACAATACACGAAAATATTATAAAAAAGATACCTTTAAAACAATTGCCTGGAACTTTTGTTTTGAGGTACAACTTGATTTGTCTTTGCTAAAAGTAAAAACCAAAAAAATGTTAATAAAACAGTTTTGGTACAAATTTAGTCTAATCTGCGGATCTAATAGCCTTCTCGCCAGTGTGGATTATAACGGTCGGCAATCGGCTATTTGCCGAACAAAAACACCAAATGGCCGATCAATTTCATTCTGCACTGACATTTTGTCCGATCAAATAAAATACACCACACTGTTCATTTAAATTGAAGGTAGTTTATGTGAAAAGTACTGTTTGAAAAGCATCTAACTATGCCTACTATACCATGCAATCAATAAATATTTGGATGAAAAAATCACTCAGAGGAAACATTGTCATTGAGCTGCTCTTTTAGCAAATACTCTCTCAAGTGACCGAATCTCGATAGTTACAGTCCATAGCCGGCGGCGTTTACAATACTTAATACTTACAAAAATATGTTTCATTTCTATAAGCCGTAGGCCTAGCTATATATTAGTAAATACCTTTATTTCCTAAAGAAACACAAACAGAGTGAAGGCGCGGAGGACGTTGCTAGTTGGCCTACGCCAAGCTTTTTTCTGCATGCAAACGTGCAATCAATAATGGTACGTCGATCTGTAGCACTGTCACGTAAAAATGGTTGAAATAGTTGGCTGACCATTGTTGGCCAATGTCCGAGCAACAGTCTCGTTAATCGGACATTTGTCAGACCTAAGCAAAAACGTTATAATCCACGCTGCTTCTCGCTGCCCCCACCCGAAAATTTGCGAGCATTAAGACTCTAAAACGTTAAGTTAGAAAGCAGGTTTTCTCGGTTAGAGTTGTTAGTTGAAGTGTCATAGAAGCAAAGCCATGAAAGTTCGTCCAAAAAGTCACCAAAGAAAGCCATTCTCTTCTGTCGCACGTAACTAATGACGTCAAACGCGGGTAAGCCATTTAATGCGATGTCCCAAGAGACAATTCTCAGCGACTAAAAGTTGTCCCATGGGACATCGCATGAATTGTTTTTCTGCCGTTTGACGTCATTATTTCCTTGCGAGTTTTTATAGGAGATAATCAAAAAGCCTTAATACAGGAAAATTTTCCTCAGTTTTGCCTTTTGGTCTTTGATATAAATCACAAGCGGTTTGGGGGCCCATGCATGGTTCAAAGGCAAAGCTGGTTTTGAGCACTACTCGTTTGGTTAAAATTCAACCTGCTGTTTGGATATTTGTACTTCCGCATGCTACAAGATTTCTTAAAACATTCTTACAAGTTTATAAACTAGCTGTTGGGAATATTCCTTTGAAATCTTTCGTTAACCGAGGATTAAGATAACCAGCTTTTGAAAAACCGGTTCTTGGTTTTGAAATGTTGAGCGAAACCAGCTAAAGTGCATCACTTCAACTCAGACTTACAAATTTATTCTGTATGTACATAATACGTAACGAAAACACACAAAAAATAAAACTTATATATACCTGTAAGACTTCTCCGTCTTCCCTTTTCAATAGGAAGTGCTTTGTTCGACTAAAAAACGAGAAAAATTAATTAGCGACAGTTGAATTGACACACTTTCAAACACCCAGCAAACCCAAGTCACAGTTTTTCGCCAAATTGTGAATTTCAACAAAATATCGCTTTCAAAACATTTACCAATTGATAAGAAGGCAAACAGTAAGGCAAAATAACAAAATCTTTTGCTTAAAGTCGGTTGAAGAAGCCAAGTTCGTCAAGGGAAGTCGGCAAACTCACTGTTCTGTCACAACGCGTGCGACCAACATTTAGGCAGTAAAATACAAGTAAATTAGGATAAAAAATACACATATCATACGACAACATACCTAACAACATCAGAGAATGACTTTTAAGGCAAAAAGTTGTTATCTTCTTGTCATATTTTCGTGGTTTTTAACGGGGCTTTTAGAGAGGGCACATCGTTCAAGAGCGCCAAAAAGCATTTTGACTTCAATTGTTTTTCAGCCAAATGGAGGCTTCTGATTGGCTTCTGTCCAATCCTTATCCAATCAGATACGAGGAAAAGAGCAGAAGAGGTTCCAAATTGATCCATATAACTTCACTGGACAAATTTTCCCGCGCTGGCTAGATCGTTCCCAGGACCTTGTCGCCGGAATTTGCGCGGGCTTCGGCACAGAATCGGGTTTTATCGGAAACATTTAATTAATATTCCTATAGCTCATATTCCACTGAAATCGGAATTATATCTGGTTAATTTTTCGATCTGGGTAAACAGTGCCAGAAAAAAATACGCCGAATCTAGCGCATTTTCGCACCAAAACTACGATGATATAAAATATTTAAGAACGAACTTTTCCTAAGCCTCATGTTAATAATATATTTTGTGTTCAATGAGGGCCCCCTATACTTTTTGCGTGAAGGGCTTATTTTACTTAGCCGTGAAACGTGATCGGGCCCCCTATACGTTTTGCGTGAAGGGCTTATTTTACTTAGCCGTGAAACGTGATCGATGATTTTCTTAATCCGTGACTCGTGAAAAGGCAAAATACTTTTACGTGAAAGCATATTGTGAAGAGGTATAGGGGGCCCTCTTCAATGTATAGACCACAGTGTCAGTAAGACTTTTTTAATGTGTTTATTACATCAACAAACGACGTTTCGGAGATTTACTCCATCTTCAGGTAGATAAGCATGCATAAACGTTAAAGCAAGCAAGGCATTTTTTAATACCATGGACGGTGAGCCCCTTCCTCTGCCCCACCACTGAAGAAAAAAAATGGCCTATTGCCCCAAAGCCAGGGCCCTAGGACCTGTATTGAGTAAATGAGTTTAACATTGAAAAGAAGTTTAAAAAACAAAATTTGCTGGTGAGCATACTTAAACTTATGTTGTGTTTGAATGTTTAGCATGCAATTTATTACAAATTTCACCATTAAAACTTTGTTTTTAGAAGCTAATATTTTGTAAAAAATGTGTTCTCAGAATGCCAAGAGATCAAAATAAAAAAAAATTCTTGGGGGGGGGGGATGCCCCCAGATCCCCCTAGCTAACTCGTGCCTGCGGTACTGATGTTCACATCTTCGGCAATCGCATATTATCCTGGGAGGAGGGCAAGGAAAATGGGCCCTTTGGCTGTTTTGCCCCACCACTGAAGAATCCTTAAAAAATGCACTGAAAGCAAGCTTTATTTTCCGAAAGCAAGCTTTATTTTCCTGCGAACAGGCTAACATAGCGATGCAGCATCATGTTCTTCTCATCAATATCGTTTTTCTGGTTTCCCGATATTAAAAGAGGTTACAAAAACTTACAATTTAATAGCTCTTTGACTTTGTAATTGTAATAACTAAATTGTTCCACAACCGCACCATGTGAAACTAAGCATAATTTTTCAAACATGGGAAGTGCATGCAAATTTCTTTCACAACTACCAAGGAACTACTAAGTCTGCCCAAATACTGTACTGTATAGCATTACAAATAACCTCTAAAACTGAGCTCAGAATATTTCATCTGGAATTCATAATACCTCGGCCCCGCAGGAATTTAAAGACTGACCAAGTTGTGATAAACAACTTCATAAATAGTGATTAATTTAATGCATAGGCATGAGCCTAATAATCAACGTCGACGTCAGGTGCAACTTGTGTCAACTCTTCATTTCTCCGCAGATAAAGTTGATCTCTGGATAAACTTCGCGACGCATTTTTAAAATGTTTTTTTGACCAACTACCTAAAAATAAGTTCTTTCAAGGAGCTTTGTCATTTTAAGAGCTCGACTTTCTACCAAGGTTCATACTTGATGCTCTCTCTAATGCTTTCCTAGTTTAACAAAACGCCTTCTAACAAAACTCAACTCGTCCTCTGAGTCCAGGATACAATTAACAACATAGCTATAAATATAACTATGTTTTACTGCTTTAATTTAACGTGTCTTCTCTTAGAGTTTACTTGAAATTCAGTAAATTAACCAAAAAAACAACACGCCCGTCTTCGATTGGGGAAACGTTTCAGTTTCGTCTTCCGAAACTTTTACTGAGGTGGAAGTTTTAAAGACCTTGCCAAGAGAATCGCAGTTGTTTTAGCAATATCGCCTGCATTCTTTTCTAATTCCTTAACAATATCTTCTCGTTTGAATCCCATGTTAACAAGACCTCGAATGTCTGCCTCTGATACATTGCTTGGAAGTGGGGCGAGGAACGATTGTAGGCTGGAAAAAAGTACAGTGTAGTTAATAATTTTGCATATCAACATTCTGAAAGGGTTGTTGTGAAATAGTGAAATACAGTATTAATTTATAATGAGATAAATTAGGTTATTGGAGTGTTAGTGGTATAATGAAAGTGGGTTCACCCATAGATATCTTATATACACTAAATAGCACATCTCTTTTAGTAAAATTGAAGCCAAGAATACTCCGGCGGTTACCCCCATTTGAATAGATGGCGGCCATGGAGTTTCCCACTCGCTAATAAACGCTTAAAAAACAACAATAACTTTCATCATTTGAATAGTTTGAAATTGTATTCGGAATAGGTTTAACTTAATGTTTAAGTTTCCTGTTTAAGAAATAGAAAACATACAAGTCTTCTCATTTCATGGGAATATCCTGAGTCTGCAATCACGGCTTCAATTTTTGAATTGCAGAATAATTAGATGCACTATCTAGTGTATATAAGATATCTATGGGTTCATCTCGGTGTGACCAGGGTTCAATTCCTGCGATATGCAGTTGTCTTTGTTTCAGTCAGTGACCCAGTATGTTTGACTCTACCAGGCACCACTACATCATCAGGGGAATATCCTGGAGAACAATTTAGAACTGAATAAGCTATCCAGTATAAATAAAGTTAAACTTAGGTTTCCTCTTATAGTAACACATGATTAATCACTGGATGCCAAGGGAAGCAGAACTTAGTTTAGGTTTCCTCCTGTACAGTAGTAATTGGATCAATAAGAGATTATCCCTTGTACTGGACCTCAAGGGAAAACAGTACAGAGCCAGAAGAGTTATCCAGTATAAATAAAATTAGTTTAGCTTAAAAATCATCTTCTATTCACCTTGCCCCAGGTTGACTCCCTGACCCAGATGATGCAACACTTGAGCTGGAAGGTGTGTCTTGTGCTGACTTGTTCAAAGCCTCAGCCAAATCCCGATCTTCCTTTTCTTGGCTTGCATTTCCTGACAATTGGGCACATGCAGGTAGTTGAGATTCAGGCAGGAATGGCGTCACAGTGCCTGTTGTTCCAATCTTTAATATATTCTCTTTTAGGTCTATTGAACACTTCAATAAAAGCAATTCTGTTAATTCACCTAACTCACCAATGACCTAACTCTTTATCCAATACATCATGCATTTCATTAATCCATTGAAGCACTCGATCTCCCCTTGATGAGTAAAATTGTCTGGCTTTAGACAGAGTAAAATAATAAAGTAGGCTGCATTTGGATGCATTGTTGCTTAATGGCTCATTCCAGAACACATCCATATCTCTGCCACAGAAGACATTGGATGTTAACCCGCCTAATGGCCACAAAGGACAAGTTAACTGCTTCTTCAGATGTCCTAATACACTAAATTACTATTATCAGAAACAAATTTTTCCCCCCTCCGGGAGGGTGGATCTTTTCTGGAACAACCCATTGGGTAAACAAGCATGCAAGATAGCCCTTATGACAATTGAAATCCTTGTGTCTTACACAAAGAAAAATTAATCAATAGTCTAGTTGACCTATACATTTCTCCGGTTGAGAAGTAAAACTGTCTGGTATTTGATAGAGTATATACAATAATATAGACACAATAATTTGTGTGTATAAAATTGTGTAAAATGTTTCAGCCTATACCTGATGTCTTTTGAGCATATCTAATCCTAGCAGCATATCCATTGGTTGTGCTTCTAATACAGAAAATGATGAAGCCAAGAAATCTTGCTCAATTTGAATCTGTGCCACATGTACACGACCTATAATCTTCTGTGTACCTACACCTTTGGCCAGGCCAGCCCATCTTCGATCTAGAAGTCTCATAATATTACACCGTTCAGCACAGGCTACACTCATGATAGTCATTTGAGCCCCAGAATCTACAAATGCTTTCACTGGCTGCCCATTCACCAGACAGTTGATGTACAACATTGTGACTTGACCAAAAGATTCAGGTGAGAATTCAAATGCTGTTTCCATGTTAGTGTTGATATTTGCTTGCTGAATTTCTTCAGCAATTTGTTGTTGAGCTTCGATGTCCAGAGGATCAGCTTGAATCATTCTCATTCGCAATGCTTCCTGTTCTTCCCGCGTTTTCTTTTGTTGATTAAATACAGCTACAAATCGCTGTGGATCACCGCTCTCTAACGCTTCTGATAAAGGAGGATTTCTTTCTTTCAGTAATGACCTACGATGTGCATCCGCCAGCAGCACTTCACGGAGGGCTAAAGGATCAACACTACCAAGAGGTACTTGTCCACCTTGGTCTGATATTGTGGATGACACTCTGCTTGATGTGCCTGGAACTCTAATACTACTCCAGTCAATAGAACCAACTACAAGAAGATCATAAGGAAATATTTATAGCTCACTCAGGTTGTGTTGTTAAGCTATTAAACCATTATTCTTATGTACAACCAGTGGCAAACAAAGTGGGGTGGTGTTAATCATCCTTACTTGCAGCTGAGATCGATTGCAAAGGGTGCTCCTGCCAGCCACATTATGACTTGCGTCTCATCATAGAGCACAGCTGCAATTAAAGGGTCAGTTAGGGGGCTAATTCCAACCCAACCTGTCAACACACCCGATTAGCGCATTTGACGCCGGCTGACAGCCGGAAATTTTGTCTCCGATTGCTCGGCTGCCAGCCGGGCTGTACTATAGTATACTATTCGTTCAAAAAATGCGCGCATTTCGGAGACTGGTTCTAGAATGTTTCATAAGCAGAAAACCACCAAAATTACATTAATTTTTCCAAAAATCATCGAAATGCATCTAAATTCATCTTCCCAATGCATATAGCTAGCTGTGCGACAGGTAAATAAACGAGGAAAAAACCCAATTTCGGCAAAGAGAAAATTCAAATTGCTTGCGCGCACTCCGGGATTGAACCCACGACCCTCAGCATACACGCTGAGTGTTGTCCCCTTGCGCTACCACGTCTTACACAGAAAATATGTTAATTAATTGTATATATACAGTTATTCCTAGCCTGGGCGATTTATGATTGCGTAAATACGTACACCATTGTACACGGCCAAGGTACGTACAGTAGCAGCCGAGCCGTATCTACTCTTCCAATACATCACAGCACAGATCACGGCTACCAGCTGGGGTTATTTAATTGTAATACAATACTACAATGCAATACGAGTGTCAGCCGAGCCTGTCGGTAGTATACTATAGTATACTACAATACATTGTGGCTACCAGCCGGCAATACGGCTATCAGCCGGGCGTGTCTGTAATATACTATAGTATACTACAGACACGCCCGGCTGATAGCCGTATTGCCGGCTGATAGCCGTATTGCCGGCTGGTAGCCGTGATTATCGTAGTATACTACAGTATACTACCGACAGGCTTGGCTGGCAGTTGTATTGCATTGTAGTATTGTATTACAGTTAAATAACCCCGGTTGGTAGGCGTGATGTTTTGCAGTACACTATAGTATAGTATACTACAGACACGCCCGGCTGATAGCCGTATTGCCGGCTAGTAGCCGTGATGTATTGTAGTACACAATAGTATACTACCGACAGGCTCGGCTGACACTCGTATTGCATTGTAGTATTGTATTACAATTATTAACCCCAGCTGGTAGCCGTGATCTATGCCGTGATGTATTGGAAGAGTAGATACGGCTCGGCTGCTACTGTACGTACCTTGGCCGTGTACAATGGTGTACGTATTTACGCAATCATAAATCGCCCAGGCTAAGAATAACTGTATATATACAATTAATTAACATATTTTCCGTGTAAGACGTGGTAGCGCAAGGGGACAACACTCAGCATGTATGCTAAGGGTCGTGAGTTCGGTCCCGGAATGCACGCAAACGAATTTCAATTTTTCTTTTTGCCGAAATTTTTTTTTTCTCGTTTATTTACCTGTCGCATAGCCAGCTATATGCATTGGGAAGATGAATTTAGATGCATTCCGATGATTTTCGGAAAATTTAATGTAATTTTGGTGGTTTTTTGCTTATGAAACATTCTTGAACCAGTCTCCGAAATGTGCGCATTTTTTGAACGAATAGTATACTATAGTACAGCCCGGCTGGCAGCCGAGCAATCGGAGACAAAATTTCCGGCTGTCAGCCGGCATCAAACACGCTAATCGGGTGGTCAACATTCCCTGTGGGAGAAACCGGAGTACCCAAAGAAAACCCACAACTTTCAGTAGAGAGTCGACTGACTCTTTTCACATAAATGTCATGTGTCCATAACAAGAATTGAACCCATAATGTTCGCATGATTGAGCCACCAAAGCCAGAGGATCTAGCATAGGCTATGAACTGACCACTTCCAATCCAGTTTAAACATGTACTGCAGATCAGTGACACAGAATACGACACACAGAACATGGACTCAGCCAAAACAGCGTAACCGCCGCCACGCCATGATTCGTCATCAAAACGCTGACGCCATGGTCCTAGCCAGTGCGCTGACGATTCCTCCCCTGGATATCTGCCATTTTGAATATTATCAGGGGGGTGAATGCCTCTCATACGTGCACTGGCTAGGACCATGGCATCAGCATTTTGATGATGAATTATGGTTACGCCAAAATCATAGGAAAAACCAAGAAGTCTGGCTTCTGTATAGTCTCTACTCTGTGTCAGTGGCATTGTGAGAAAAGTATAAAATGTACACTGTACCTCCTGAAGAACGTTGGTTCTGTTGGGGTGGCCTCGGCATTCGTCTCGTCATCACCAAGATATCACCATCTTTCACGCCAAAATATTTCAAAGACTTCTTGACTTCCTTCAACTGGTAGCCATTGTAATAAATTGCGAAATCTGACGCAGGGACACCACTTTCGAATTCCAATAAAGGTTTCAATATTTCTATTTCTGAATCGTCACTGATATCCAAAGAATACAGATTATCTTCAAATGTTACTGATATTTTCATTTTTATAGCAAATTATCTTCGAACTGACCAACTAAAATATACTAGGTAAGCACTATTTTATATAGCAATATCATGACAATATTCCCGTCTTTGCATGTGATCTAGATCACAAGATCTAGATAGTTACCTGCAAGGCTGCAACCTGCCTGATTTACGGGTTTTTTCAACCTCGTCCCCAGGGTCATCCAATAGTGGCGCGTCAGCCTCACGGGAGGTGAGAAAGTGTAGTCAGGGCCGGCGCTAGAGGGAGGGGGGGGGGGAGGAGTGTGGAACACCCCCAGTCATCAGGTAGTCGGCAAGGTATTGAATCCCAGTCGGCAAAACATGGATTTAGATAGGAAGGGGAAAATGAAATAGTTGAGTGACACCGATCAAAAATTAAGAATGACAGCTAAAATGTGGAAAAATTTACGAAAAAATTAGGGGAAAATGGAATGAACAACGGTGGTTAAACGCACAATAAGATGGATAAATATGTTAAATAACCCCCCCCCCCCCC